AGCCTAGATATTTTTCAAAATGCAGTTAAAGCAGCTATGTGTATTTTCCCTGCAGATAAAATGCTAAGGTCCTGGAGATGGATTGTCTTATTAGATTTTATGGAAAAAGATACATAACTAACTGAAATGTTACTAAGCCTCTGTGAGGGTTGCCCTCTCCCTTACTAGTAAGAATAAGCTCAGCTTTCTCTCATGAACAGGTGGTCACGGTGCTTCCAGGAGGCAACACACAGCAAAAAACAAAGACAATATTGGTGTCAGTTAGAAGGTGGGAGAAGTGGGAATGGGACCCTGGGGACAATCTGTCTAGCAAGGAACCTAAGAGATTTCTGTTACTTTTAAGATTAAACAAAAATTTCTTAGGAGAATTAGGCGATTTCCCTCAAATTTTTCAAGACAGAAATCTAAAATGAAATAATAGATTTTTAAACTTATCATCTATAAATAAATACAAATTCTCTATGCAGATACACATACCTGGATTTCATGGGGTGGACAATACTTTTCTTTGTGGAATCTTCTTCCCATTATCTCCTTGGTCTGTGTTCTGCCCTCTGACTTGCAGCAGGGTGACAGACACTAAAATCTTGAGCCCTCTGCTATTTCCCATCCTCTCTACGGTGTACTCATCTTTGTATGTGTAACATTCATTATTCCACTGAGACTTCATCATAGTGGGAATCTAGCTAAAACTGCTGAAGTGTAAAATTACATGATCTATATTCTAAAGAGGTATTCTCCCCATCTCACCTAGGGCCTAACACAATACCAGGGACATGGGACTCCACCCTACATATTGTTTGAATCAGTACATTTTCTGGGATTTTACTTCAAGGGTGATATGCTTTCCTCAACATTGCTATGGCAGTTGCATCATATTACCAACACTGGTGGGAACCATGAGAAGATATGCACAAAGGCCACAAAAGGTTATCTGAAACAAAACTAACTTTATTGGTTGACTGGGAAGGGAGGGCCAAAACAAGCAGCAAAAGGGAAGAAGTACATCAAATCTGGGGAGAGTCTGAGTTCAGGTCTCTGGTTGGTTCTCAAGGCCGAGCGTAAACTCTTCTTTGTAGTTGGTCATCGCACTGGTTCACTTCTTCAAAGTGCGGGTACCACGGCCGGAGATGTCCAGGATGGGCTGCAGAAGCTCGAACGGGCACAGTGTCACTCAGATGACATGGCTGAGGTGTTTGTTGGAAGTCAATCAAAAATCTTTCCTTCACGGGATCCGTAGCACATTAGTACAGCTGACTGCACCGAGTAAGACTCAGTGGTTACCTGCCCCTTCACTCATTTCTTTTGGAACTGACAGACCAAATTTCCTTCCTTTGGCACAGGAACATACATGCGTACTTAGAAAAGCAAATTTTATGTGGACAGGTTGCCCTTCAAGTTGTAACAAAGCAAAATATTAGAGACACACAAAACCTGTACACAATGTTCAAAGTGACATTATACACCATAGCTCATAGGTGGAAGCAACCCAAATGCACATCAATGGAGAATGGATAAATGGATGTGGCATATTCAGAGAACCAGATATCACTCAGACATGAAAAGGAATCACACACTAGAACATGTTACAACATGGATGAACCTCAAAAACATGATGCCAAGGAAAGGAGGCAGATACAAAAGGCCACACACTGTGCCTCCATTCATAGGAAATACCTAGAATGGGGAAGTCCATCCAGACACAAGGCAAACTGGTGGTTTCTGGGGCTGGGGAGGGGAGGATGGGCACCTAGTGCCCAGGGGCTACAGAGGTCTTCTGGGTGAGGAAATGTTTTCCAAAGAGGGATGGCGGCAGCAAACACTACGTTAGTAAATGCCACTGAATTATACACTCCACACGAGTTGTTTCTTATGCGAATTACATCTCCATAAAAAGAAAGGAAAAAAGACAACAGAAAAGTTCAGGCATCTTTGGAGGCCATTGAAAGACCCCAGAAGCAGAAAAGAGCTGAGGGAGCAGGACTGGGGAACAATTGCTCCGTGAGCCAGGAGAGGGAAAAGAAAGAGAAGGGGGCCAGGTTCCACTTCAAACTCTAACAAGGCCACAAAAACTTGAAAGGCAGCTCAGCCCGTGTGGCTCAGTGGTTAGGCGCCTAGCCATGAATCAAGACTTCACCAGTTCGATTCCCAGTCAGGGCACATACCCGGGTTGCAGGCTGGATCCCAGCGGGGGGCCATACAGGAGGCAGTCAGTTGTGCCTCTCATGGATGTTTCTATCTCTCTCTCCTTCCCTCTCTCTCTAAAATCAATAAGAACATATTTATTTTTAAAACTTGAAAGGCAAACAAATAAAACTCACTTCCAAACGGTTCGCTATGTACATTTCTGCTAAAGACACTACACTCTGAAAACTAGAAATGATTTTATAAAGGGAGGAAACACGACATCCCAGAAATGCCTTTTCCCGGCCTTGGTTGCAGCCTGGAGGAAGAGAGCTGGGCTCTGTGGTGGGCGCCTAGGGCACAGGCTTTGAAAGGCCCGCGACACCGCCCCTGCCCGCAGCTCTGCCCTAGCCCTTTCTGCACACTGGGAGGTCTCCCATGTCCTCCACATAGGGTGACAAACATCATTTCTAGTACTTTTAACACTTTTAATAAACACATTTGTAAACACTGCGGCGCCAAAAACATTTGAACTAAATAAGCAAATAGTAAAGTACATTCTTCAGAAAGATGTTGCGAACATTTCATAGGTCCCTTCCATATATATTATGTGCAGTGAAACCATGTGAAAGGCTGTGACCTTCCTGTCGCCTGCTACAACACGGATGGACATCATACTAAATGCAAGAAGCCAGCCAGAAGACAATTACTGTGACTGCGCTCACAGGAAGTGTCTAAAGCTGCCCGACTCAGGGAAACACAAACTGACAAGCTGGCTGCCACGAAATGGGCCGCTGGGGCTCAGGGAGGATCCAGGTTCACTTTGACAAGATGAAGCAATTCTAAGGACCTGTTGCACAACACACAACTGTCAAGTGCTCAAGATGGTACAGTTTAAGTGGTACAGGGCTTCTTCACTCAGCAAACATTTAAAAACCCACTCATCTTGCTAAATTAATATAACTTCGTCAGTATTGTAAAGTCAATTGATTCAGAAAAACCACAGGCTTCAGGAGGTTAAACTGAACCAAGTGTGAATTTGATACACTTTAGAACATTAAAATAGAAATCACTATGACAACAGCAGCAACCAAACAATAATGCAAGCAAAACAATCCCAGGTTATTAAATCCACAGTCCGGACGACGCGAATAGGGCCCATCAGTCGAACGACCTTGGAGTCATCAGAGGAGGCCTTGACCTGGATGACCGGGGTTGCTTGTGATGTGCTGGCAGTAGTCACGGTGGCTGTAGGAAGTATGCGGACTCGGACTCGCCTCACCTCCACAGCAGGTTTCTGGGCAAGACTTGGTGGCTCCGAAGCAGGGGCAGGAGATGGAAGCTGCCAAATGCGAATGCGGCTTGCCTGCTGTGAAGTAAAAGGCTTACCCAAGGAGCTGTTTCCCGAGCTGCAGGGACTTTGGATGACTGGCGGTGCGTGTTGGCCTCCCTGGCCCTGTACTGCAGACTGAACTGTCGCGGCCCGAGGCTGTTCTGCTGCTCTCTCTGGAGAAAGCTGGATGAGACTGGCGGAGCCACAGGAGGCCTGTGCCACCCTGACTGCACATCTGTCCCTCTTCTTCACCAATTTCTTGGACTCCCCGGTTGCTTTCCCAGCACCAGTCTTTGACCCAGGCATTGAACAATAGGAATGGTCATCTGTGTAGCAGTAGGGGCGAGGTGTCTGTCTCCCACGTCTGACTTTTTCAGGTGACCTTTCTCCAGAGATAAATGGATCATTCAGAGACTGCATGATGGGTGGCTTTGTTGTATAGGATGGACCGTCACGTTCACATCCAAACAGAGAATCATCTTCTGCCTCAGAGTCTGGCCAGACTATTGAATTTGCATCATCATATTGGAAAGGCCAGTCCTCAGCGAATTTTTCTATATCGAAATCAAAAGGGACCTGCATGTAAATGGCTAGCTGTTTCCACAAATCTAAAGAATTTTCTTTGAAAATTTCAAGGTCATCCTGCTGATCTGCTTGGCTTTCTTGGCTTTGTTGGTCAGGAGCCCATGCCCCTAGCTCAGGAGGGGGTGGACCACAAGGCAGCTCCTGCTGTGGATTCAGGGAGGCTGCAGAACAGTCCTCCTGTAAGTTGCTTCTCACTGGGGGAGTGTTCATCTTTTGGTCGTCATAGAGCAGCTTGTGTTCACTGCAGGCTACTGATACAGAAGGACTAGGACACAGCGGCTCAGCTGTAGCTAAGGCCGGCTGGCTCTCGAGTGAAAGTCTGTCTTCCTGGGCCCATGTCTGGTTATTGCAGGTTACGGCGTGGACGTCAGAAGCTGACGTCTGCATCGCGGGGCGTAAGAGAACATGCCTGCTTTGGTAACGACTGCGGTCCCCGTTAGTGCACTGTCTATAGTCCCGCACTTCTGCGATGACACACCCGCTCTGAAAAACGTTAGCTTGCGAGTTTTCTAGGACATCTACCAAATCAGGAGATAGTTGCTCTGCATCCAAGTATTCAAGAAAGTCCCTGTCCTCATAGGGCACTATAACGAACTCTGAATAAACTTTCGTTTCTACCTTCAGCACCAGCGAATACTGCTCGCCTGGGAGTAGGTTGGCCACTAAACGCGTTAACCCCAGACCTTTCCAGGACATCTACCAAATCAGGAGATAGTTGCTCTGCATCCAAGTATTCAAGAAAGTCCCTGTCCTCATAGGGCACTATAACGAACTCTGAATAAACTTTCGTTTCTACCTTCAGCACCAGCGAATACTGCTCGCCTGGGAGTAGGTTGGCCACTAAACGGGGCAAGGACTCCCTCCGAACAAGCTTCTCCAGCAAGTTCACATTTCGCGTTAATTCCTCCGTACCTTCGGGCTCCTTCCCGTACTCCTCAACATACATGTCATACAGCTTTTCGTGCAGAGATTTTTCCTCAGTGGATGAGGATTTCCTCTTAGGAGGTCTCTGCTGGGCGCTTTCAGAGCCACGCTCTGCATGGTCCAGAGCTCGTTTTAAAGCTCTTCGCATTGTGACACAAAGCGGGGGCCCTAAAATAGAGAAAACGTAAGTGCGCTGCCGCACGGCTGCCCGACCCGTCTGCAACATCCATGTATCGTTTTTTGCAAATGCCGCGACGCGACAGAGCGGC